ACAAAGGCAGTAATGAAGAGTTGTGGCTGCGGCTTCTTGTTTGGTTTTTGCGGTGTAACTGCTAGCACGTGATTTCTCAGCACTGGTTTTTGCATGCAGCCGAACGGCTCCTGTCAGGCCCCAAGCACGTTCACAGAGCTGAGGTGGAAGAGTCCTGCTGCGTCCGTCGGAGCAGAGTCAGGGTGAACCTGTCCTCCTTTGGCTCAGGAGACAGCAACAGGAAGGGCCGGAGCTCTGAAGATAGGGAGTAGGCCCTGCATGGAAGCTACCTAGACCTAAAGGCAGGAGGTTGCAAGGCTGAGTTCATCTGCAGGTCCACCTCGAGCTGCTCCTCCAGAACTGCACGTACACCAGCAAGCACCGCCAGCAGAACACACTCCCCCCACCCCGGCACCCTGCCCTACGCGCCTGTGCGCTGCGTGGGAGCGCGAGAGACAGCCCCCTGTGGACCGAAAACCCCGGGGAGGCGATGGGGGCTGCGTGGCTGAGCAGTTCACATCCATCATTTCGCTACGTGAGACGCAAGGACGATGTTACTCCAAGTAAACATCCAATGAACTGAAATTTATTTACAAGCTCAGTATGTACATAAGAGACCAGCATGCAGCTTGATCAGTTCTGTCAGCGTCATAAAAATGTACAGCGTTGCAGTCAGTTTCCTCACCCACTAAAAACTGCTACAGGAGTTCAGAGTTTACATAAAAAAAAATAATTAGCAAACTGCAAAGTCAGTCTGCTTTCAGTACACAAACTCACATTCTTCAGATATTATTGTTCACATAACACTGGGAACAGGCTTTTATACTTGCAGGTTCCTTGTCAGGCTTCAGTAGTAATAATTAGTGCACTTGAAAATTGCTTGGCTGTCAAGTTTAAAAAAAAAAAAGTGTTTACACAGAAAGGCTCAAAGGTCTGGCAGCTGAATCTCAAATGCAAAGTCAGTTCTTGCCACTGCTTGTTTCTGGAGTTAAAAACCAAACCACCAAAGCCAAGGCCCAGACCTTAACAGACAGCACCGCTCCCCCGCGTACCAGTCCAGCCGCCAGTATCCTGCCGTCTCCATCCCCGAGGAGCTTCCACCGACACTCGGCGTGTCCTCAGCATGCCCCTGACGAGCGAGGCTGCTCTAGCAAGGAGCTCTGGGGCACCTGGCAGCTGCCTGCCTGCCCCGAGGAGGGCTCTGCGCAAAGCCAGCCTCTCTCCCTCCCCATCAGCCAACACGGCCGAGGGAAAGCCCTTCCCACGCCGCGTAGCGTCGACAAGGTTGATGGGTCATCAAGGGCTTTCCGTGGGTTACGCCACGGAAGCACGGCTGCCCAAGGCTGTCCGAGCCCACTGCCAGGCAGCGCCGTCTCATCCTTGGCCTCGGGTGTAAGGCACCCGCTCCGAGAGCGTACAAGGCCCTGCCAGGGTGCGTTAGGCTGGCTGTGGTCAGCGGTCACCGAAGGCGAGCGAGGATGCTGGGACGCTGCCAAGGGCCGTGCGGCAGCGAGCACAGGGAGCTGCAGCGAGGTCAGCTGGGCCGGACTGTGAGCCTGAACAGAACGCCTCTGCCAGGGGACCGCTGTTCTCCTATGCGAGGCAACCACGTCCTCTAGCAGCGCCAGTCCCAAACTTCAGCCGCGTGGGACCCAGTCCTAACGGCAGCCTGAGGTCAGTGCGGACCAACACTTCATCGTGGGAAGCAGCAGCGTTCACTACCCCTGCTCGGCTGAACCGTAAACACAAGCACAGCTGCTACACAGAAGCCACTTAAAAAATGTTGGTTCTAACTCAAAAGGCCAAAGAATTCCACTCCTGTTTGAAAAACTGGCACCGGTGGAGCTTAATCGCGCTGAGCTACGGTTATCTAATAACCTGCGGATGTCGGGTCTCCCGAGTGCTGAGTTATGCGATGGTTTCACGACAGAGTCTAAAACCCAAGGCAGCCCGTTTTACTGCGGCGAGCTTACGGCGATAAAAGTCCTTGTCAGTAACAAAGTCTGCAAGTACAGCGTAATGCACAGCACGTTCAGAGGCCAAAGGTCAGTGACTGGAAGCCCCAGCAGGTTCACTTCTCAGGCTGCGTTATTTCATCCTGTCAAACAAACGTAACTTTAAAAACTCTTTAGCAGCTTCACTGATTGCAAGCTAGTAACAAACATGAACACACAGGCTCACTGCTACTCCCGAAATATTTTAGAATACTAATGCCAAATGACTGAAGGGCTCTACAGAAATCTCTTGAAGTAACAGCACTACCCATACTTTGGGGGGGGGGGGGGCAATTTTTAAAATGTAAAATGAAGGTACAGCTATGGTGGTTGGTCTGTGATCTTATCTTCCAGAAAAAGCAAAAGATCTTGTCCAGAACAGTCCTAGAGTCCGCAGAATTCAATTTTAGCCGTTACCGTACCAGCACTGAAGTGTAAGCATGTCCTTCAGACAAAGACGGAGGGAGGCAACGCACCGTAGGGCTGTGATTTCGACCCAAGACCAGGTCCCACAGCTACCATGGTTTCACAAGCACGCTGCTGGGAGCGGTTTCTTCATTCTGCACTTGAACAAATCCTGAAATCCTGGTGTACGGGCCTGTCAGCTCAGCCAGGGTGCTGACTGCTGTTGTTCATGTTCACCAAGCAAAAGAAGTACTGCTGTGATCAGAAGGCTGAGTTTTACAGCCCACTTCTCCACCGTCCCACTCCAGGAAGACCTGTTTCGTACTTGATTGCAGGACGGGACGTGACTGAGAAGGAAACGCATCTCAGATCCCAGGCAATGCTGTTGGTTTTTTCCAAACTCCTAGTGACATACTGTCCCAGCAAGCGGGTAACAGTCCAGAAGTCAGAAAAGGAACTGCCTCCGTGCTTAAGGTCATAGCTCAGCTCATTAGGTAAGGTCCAGACCCTCAAAGTCAGGCGTTTCATCGGGTGCCTCTGCAACACAGTGGGGAAATAAGTTTAGGCGCTTACTATGCATAGGAAATTGTCAACTCTTACCTGATTTCCAAAAAATCCAGATCAATGCTTAGTAGGCTGAAAACCTGGCAAAAGCCTGAGGAAACGGCTAGTTCAGAACAAATGCTAATGATGGCCTGAGGCTGTTAAAATTGTGAAATGTCTGCCCAGCCTGTTCTAGAGCTCTGCTCAAGGGCACCGCAGCCTCGCCATCAGGCAGCAGGGATGAGCAGAGTGCCTGGCATCCAGATAAACGCTGCCTTACTTACAAGCCAGTACTACACCAGTCGGCATTTGCTTTGGGGAAGCGAATCAGGGAGGTTGGCTGAAACTTGCCACAAGTTAAACCCAGGGTTATTTAACCCTACACTTGCTAGAATGTCATATCCCCCCGCACCCGAAACCGGCTGTACCTTCACTCACAGGTCTGCGCTATACTCGGGACAGGGCTTGCTGTGTCGATACTGCATGACGTACACCGTGGACTGATGCCACCAGTACAGCATCACCACGGCAAGGACATGCCACACTTGGTGACTGGAGCCGAGGTAGTTCAGCTGTCCTGTGCAGAAGAGAAAGGACGAGTGGTTAGGGTGCTAAATTCAGCAACGACTCCTGCAATGCAATTAGCAATTGGTCTCTTCCAAAGCTCGACTCTGCACTCCACTTCCTGGGAGGCAGTGAAAGCTCTTTAACAAACTTGATCAGAAGTTGTCTGCCTTCTTTTGATGCCAATACGCGCAACGTTTTACTCCACGTGAGAACACTTCACGGGGAACACGGTCAACCGGTTCTCACAGGAAGTTTGGGGCTCACAGCAAGGACTGTGACACTGCAGGAAGCTTAACTGCGAAAAACACACCCAGAAGAGAATTTCCTACCTGGGAAGTATCTTTCTGGAACTTTGGAAATATAGAAGAGAAAAGCTACAGCAGCGATGAAGTACATGACAACTACCCGCGGAGCAAACTCCTGCAAAAGAAAAGGAAGCTCTCCTATTCTGTTAGAAAGTTAAAAAAAAAAAAAAAAATAGTCCCTAAAGATAAAAAAGAAGGTGGCATGACAAAACTGAACCTTACTTCGCTGCCTACGTTGTCTATGGACAGAATCCAACGGGGCAGAAAATGCCAAAGTTTGGGAAAATCTGAGTGGGAAGAAACTTGTTTTCTTATGACGTCTCTGCTTCAGTACACGAGCTACCGAGTGCTCGCGTGCAGGCTGCAGCAGACAGGAGATCTGTCAGGGAAGGACGTCTGCCAGCACACTGCCCTTAAGCAGCATAGCCAGGGTCGATGAGACTTCAGTGCAAGATCTCATTTACTGGATGGGATGGCAGTCGCTACAACCCAGGGCCACAGGACTGCCACATACTGGATGGTAAATAATCGAGCGACCCATTCACGAGTTGCTTTTTGTTTTCCTTAACAGAAAGTTTTGTTACTGGCAGTGGAATATTTTTCTGAAGTTACGGAAAAAAACACACAGCATACATACTGTTCTGCTATAGCAGCAGAAACTAAGTGGGGGAAGACACAGGGGGACAGCTACTGTGCATCGGTTTTTCAGAAGGCCCGTGTTAAGTGTCCTGCCTAAAGACTGGCTATATTCACAAATGTTGCTCCTCCACGTTCAGCAGCAGCAGGGCTCTGGGTAACTGCAGTGATTGCTGACGTTTTCATACTGGGGCATACTTCACTGTCCTCAGCTGTGCTGCGCTGCTGCTTTTTCAAAGAACAATTCTAAGCAGTTAGAAAAAGAACAGGAAAATAGTTCAGTGACTTCACAGTGATGTTCAGTGAGGGCTGCGTAAGAGACAGTGGGCTGAGTGGGCAAATACTGATTTTTGCTGCAAACCCAGGGACCAAAAGAGGAAGCAAATCATCATCCCGCCAGGGTCTTGTGGTTCCCCTCCCCTCTCGAGCTGCAGAGGCGGGCAGCCCAGAGCACTCGTGCAGCCCGACGGACCGCTTCCCTCTCGCTCGGCTTCCCGAGGACGGGGCTCTTTGCCCCGGGGTGAGCGAGGGTGCGGCCCACCCACACGGGCTGCTCTCTCCCTCAGACACATGCACTCAGTCACAGCTGCCTCCAGTTTTCCTTCTCACGGCACAGTTTTAAATCAGTAGAGCAGATTTAATCTGTTCAACCTTTTTACTGCTGCTCAGTACATTTCTAAGTGTTGGCACTTGGAACGTATCGTCCGAAAGAATTCTGTGCTTAAACAAATTTCAATTCCCACTGCTTGCACCTCATTCCCGAGGTGTAAGCGGACTGAAGGAAGATGGCAAGTGAAAAGCAAGAGGGAATCTTACTCCCTTCTTTTTTTCTTTTACCTGTACAATAGATGCGCCAATGCCGCCGTTGAGCCAAACCCAGTGGATGGTGGGAATAATTCCATATCCAGACACTGAGCAAAAGATGATGGAGCGCAGTCTGTGCCACTGTTGCGTGAGGTAACTGGGATGAATCTGAGCAAAAAATACTGCCAAGACCATTGCCAGCACAGTGATTAAATATACCTGACGCCAGTACTGAGAAAAAAAGAAACAAAAGCAACTTGGTGGGTTTTCTCATCACGTGTAAAAGTAAACTCTGGGTAGAAAGGTTATATTACTAACTGCAATGATCTATCACATCTCCTGGCACTGCTGCAAGCACAGGCGACAGGGTTGGAGTGAACGGACTTGTATTTATCAGCTGACGGTGCGGGGAAGGGACTCTGCGGCTCGGGCACTCCTGGCAGAACATCATTTAGCCCAGGCACTGTCTTCGCCAAAACTTTTTAAATACCCCTCTGCCTCGGCCAGCTCGTTCACCTACCCAACTGCTGTACCCACTGCAGGCACGGGTGTAACCCAGCCCTGCCAAGGGAACCAATTTCATAGAATCATAGGTTGGAGAAGACCTCTCAGATCATCGAGTCCACATTTCACTTGTCCCCCGTTAGGTGTAGAGACTATAAGGTTGTGTCTGCCCCATGTGAGCTACCGCGTGGGAAATGATGTCTGAACTACTTGTGGTGGGGACACACCCATACTCAGCCTCACACGTTTGACAAAGGCAGGACCTGTCAAGCTTACCCTGCCTTCACAGAAGTTTAAAAATTGTCTTGAGGCTTGTGCGATCGACAGCTTGAAAGGAAAACCTCAATTTGCCCATCGCTTCAGCAAGAAAAGTTCTGCTGGTGTCAGAAGGAACTCGTTTCGATTTCCCTCTCTGTCTCCCGACTAACATTCCGTTGGGACACCCCGCAATGAACGCCCTTCCCACGGCCTGGAAACTACAACAACGAGACCACAGGGACTAAACGTTACCCGAACAAGTGCTTCAGACTTACGTTATTACAATAAAACGCGTAAAACACGCCTGACACATAGCAGCCCAGGATGCCGATGGAGATTCCAGCATAATCTAACGCCATCCATCGCCGGCTGGTCTTCTCGGAGCGGTGACAGCAGAAGAGATGATATCCCACCGAGCAAAGCATACAGACCTATACGAATGTTCAAACAAGGATGCATTAATTTCTTAAAAATGAACAGGGAGTACAGCGAGCGTAAACGTTGAAGCTCAGAGTTGCGTGTTTTGCAGTGCAACCTGGTGGAGGCAATTATGATTCCTGCCAGTAAGCAACAGAAACTAACGCCAGCTTCTCTGGCGGAGGGAAGAAGGAACGGAAAACTCTGCAAGACGCGATAACCTCAAGTTGCACAGCTATGAAAACCGGGCGACCGAGGCCTAGATCGTGAGGCCAAGTGAGGAGCCAGCACGCAAGGGACAGGGCCACGTCTGCACGAGTACATCAGGACAACGAGCTCTGCTTGGCCAAACCATCACACACAGAAACCAAAGCCCAGATCTGCCCTGACTGCCCGGCACGCACGTTACACTTCACTGAGGGAACACACAGGAAATTTAACTCCTACGTACACACAGGGCGCTTACTTGCTTCTAGGCCAGTATCAATGTTTTTTCCCCAAAGAAATGTTTGTGTTTCTCTGCAGCCCTGGACAGGGGTAGGGAAGAGCACAACAGCACTTTCCAAGCCCGCAAGGGAGTTCTCCCCGCTTCCAACTACGCGAAGGCACCCCGTACTCCTCAGGGAATACGAACAGCCCTCCTCAGCTCCTCGCACCTCTTTTGGGACAGCGCGCTTTGCAGGAGTTTCAGTGCTCCAGCGATGACACACCTGAAGCCTGTTGCCGAGAACAGATTTCACCCAACACAGAAGCTCCTGCTTAGAGCAGGTAAGAAGTCAGAACACAAGCCCTACTGCCCTTCCAGAGCAGCATCGGGCCATGGCCGATTTTCACATTCCAGTGGATGACCCGGGAGCTGCATGGGAGCCGCATCGACCCTCTCCAGCAGCAGTCGATGCTGCCTGGGAGCCGCGTCAGACACTACTGAACCCCGACGGTTGTATGAAGCGGTGAAAGGTGGCCTTGGACCCCGCAGCTGTTTCTCACAGACCCTCTCCTGCACCAGCTACACAGTCCTCCCTGGCTCATCCCACCCATTAAACAGGCCGAACTCCACTCCAGCCCCACGCTTGCCAGCTGCGATGCAAACTGAAACATGCCTTCGTCCCGGGTCTGGCCCGAGCCCGCCTGGCCATGCAGCCCCGTGTCCGGGAGCACCGTGGCGGGCCCGGCTGCCCTCCCTCCGCAAGCCAAGGCGC